ATTATCCTCAAGTAAACAGCATCTGAATAAAATAAATATGACATAAATAGGAAATGTTTTCTCAAAAAAGGAAAAATATGAAAGCTTTCGTCGTCATATTTCTCCATTTGCAGAACAAAATAAATAAGTAAAGCATGAGAAAAGCTCAAGTAGCATTTTAGGACAGAGCAAATGCAGAGGTAGAAATATTTTCATCTATAATAGAATGAGAACGACGATGATGGAGTAGAAAAAAATGAATGGGGATAAAGCACCTTAAGATTAATGATATTCGTAGTGCATGAAGTATTTGTAAGAAAAATTTATAACATTTCATCATCATATACATAATGTATTGATCCTGTTTACAGTTATTCTCTCGACGACATCTTCTTCTTGATTCTAATGCATGAAATACATTTACTTGATGTGCATAAAGATGTTTGAGGTGGCAACTTTCTGGTTTTATGGATGTTTTGTTCGCTCCTTTAAAGATGATGGCTTTTTCTTTGTTTTGGATCTTTCAACAAAATCCTGACACTTATCTTCAATTCAGCTTAACTTGCCTTTCAAAGATAAAGAAAAACATCCCGTCTCATACCAAATTTGATTTTATAGTACTCAAAAAGTTGGGCATAGTAATAAGAAGAATAGCTTTATGATGTCTAACCTGGCAACAATCAAATTACCGTCGTAAAGTTTACATTCTTCTCCATTTATGACATTTTTCTTCTCTTAAATTGTACACTCTTTGTAGCATCTCCATCCACCTTATTCATTTTCATCATATACAAGTTACTTTATTGCTCTCAACAAGCAATCAGTATTCAGTTCCATTCGCCTGCAGGACATGATGAGGAATGAAAAGAAGCAAAGTGAAAACTTTTTTTCTATGTGAAGAATTGAAGGACACAAATAAGCGAAGACTGACTGACTGACTAGTAGACTGTAATCGACGCAAAAGTTGGAAAGAAGTATAAAGGATTTGCGATGCATGAACAGCTTTTCTGAGATTTGAGACATATAATATAGGAACTAAGTCAAAAACTCGACAAATTCACATTCATTCGTGCAAATGTGCACATGGAAAATCTTCTCTGTTGCTTGGTAACCTTCAGGCAATGAGGAAAATTTAATTATCTTTTCAACTGTATTTCTATCTATCCTGATTTCATTGCAATACAGTAGAATTGTGATCGGCGGTTGATTGAATTTCAAAAGTTTTTTTTTCATATTCAGACGTGACATTTTTATGATAGTAAAAAGTTTGCCCTTGTTTGCTATTGTTCTTTATTAAAGAGTAAGTTTTTTTTATGATCAAGCTAAATGAGAGACAGAGTTGATGGCTGGAATGTACATCAATGATAAATAAACTGCGGCAATGTTCAGTTTTAGGAGAAAATGATTGATGGAATTTTTTATTGGGTTGCGAACTTCTTAGAAACCTTGTAATAAGCTATTCTTGTCCCATCTTCTCTTGTGTGGAATTATGTCACGAATATTAAATACTTTTATACATAAATAGACCATATTCATGATGAGATGATAAATTGAATAGAAAAAGTTGAATAATCATTTCATCTACTGACCTTTATACTCTTGACCAGAGACCTAAGTTGATGAAATTTTGTATGGAGTCTAGTCGACTCCGTCATACGAAATCGATGAAAATCTCGAATCGACTTCGAGCTCTGTTCTTGTCTTCAGCCAACAACCTTCAAATAAATCTCATATTCAAATGCTAAATCACAAATTTCATTCATTCAAATGGAAGAAAATGAGCTTCAAATTCAAATACATCATATAATGACTCAATTTAATTTCGTACCTATAAATATTTACTCATTTTGGTTCCATCACTTCCTACTTCTCGATTCAATTTAAAACCTAATACAAATTTACATATCCAACCATTTTACAAGAACTTAATTTACTTTTTTTCTCATTTTCATTTGAAATTTCTTCCACGGCATCAAAAAGCTTCATTAAAAAGCTTTCAATTTAATTTTTTTTTCAGGTTCCACGCGTAGCTTGGATTTTAAAAGAAATTTATTTAAGAATACAATGTTGTATGTTGAGTTAAGGGGTCGTTGGCTTTTGAAGTTTGTCAAAAAAACAGGCTCAATATTACAAACAAATGAGCCTTTAAACAAGTAATACAAGCTACAAAATGGTCTAAGTTGACCATAATCTCAATTACAATAGATTCTATCATCGATCAGGATCGCAGTGCCTTCAGCTCGTCGCAACGTGTAGTAACACACCGCTTGGCTGGAGCCTTCTCACATTATTTTTATTATTATTGACCCAAATCCCTTTATCAATACAACATAGTGCAAATTACGCTATAGTAGCACAGCGTGGAAGCTCACAATTCTCTTCATCAGTCATATTTTTTCTGCTTTCTGTTTCATTCCATTTCCAAAACCTTAAATATTTGAATTAACTATTCGAAATGATACGACTCGAAAGTTTGCTGACTGAATGTATGTGAGTGTTGTTTGAGGTATTTTTCTTGGTATTTCTTAATGAAAGAAATAAGAATTTTTCGGCAACTTCTTCATTACACGCACCCACTACTATATAATATGTATTTGTATAGAAAATACCTCGTAAATGCTGTTTTCTTATTTTCACTTCCATAAACTAAAGGTAGAAAATTCAATATAAATTGGATGGAGCGCACTTACAAAGAAAATAAGAAGCATTGATATTGAAGTTACTCATTAAAAAATTCAAGATCTTGCGAAGCATAAGAAAATTCATTTTTAGACAAGCTATCGCATTACAGACCAAAACCACAGTCTGCTCAAATAAATCGTTCCAAAAATAAAACAGAAACTTTTTTTTCTATCGCATCCTGTCTTTTTCACTTGTATACACATCCGCACACTTATTTGATTAGTGATTAAGACAGAATCTTATACTGTGTAATGTTTCGCTTTTCAGGCTTAATTAGAAAAAGAGCAGCAGCAAATAGATAGAAAGAAATGGAAATAAAAATAAAATAAATAACATAGACAGAAAAATTCTAATTTACTATTTTTCCTTTGTCCATAAATTAAGTTTACGGTTAGATGAATTCAACAGAGCTTAACTAATCACACTTGAGATGACTAATAACCATTTTTATGCTGTAATACGGAAGGAAGTGAAAGAACTTGAAAGAGCATTTTAACGCGATAGTGAGGCTTGTTATTGAAGTTTCTCTATGCCAACATAAAAGATTTTATAGTTAATGAAATTTCTATAAAGTAATTAGAGTTGATGGATGAGGAGGTGGAGTATAAAATGCATTCAGGATATAAATTAGAATTTTCCTTTGATTAATTAAGGTTAAGATTTTATGCAGACTGATAAAAGGTTTTGTGAATCCGCTAATAAATATCAATCTTTGAGGTTTCCTACAAGTTAATTTTTGAAGATATATTGCATGGATTAACTTTTGTTTGGATGCAACAATGTGAGCATATTAATGGATTTGCTCTAATTAAATCTTAGAAAATCCTCAACATAATTAATTAATTCCTTTTGTTTGAAATGAGATTAAGAATGGTGGGAACTTAAGCTTCTGGATGTTTGATAGAATCTAATTTGATGTCTCTTGATTCTGTTGTTGCTGTGAGACAGTTTAATGGATTAGTCTTTGTTCTTAGAATGATTTTAATTGGATTGATTCAATATAATTCTTAGATCTGTAGAAATTTTTCAGATTATACAACTTATGTCTGCATCACAAGAATCTGTTTGCTCATATTAAGCTTTCTAAATCTCTACAACAGGTATTCTAAAAATAATATTCAAAAAATTCAAACGTGACACCAAGATATATAGATGTGCTCATACAAAAATATCGCAGTTTTTAAACGTCAAAAATTTGAATTTTCTAAAAACACTAACACTATAAAAGAAAATTTTTAATTTTTGTTTTGCAAAATTTTCAACTTTCTGTTAAGTTTTGTTGATACAGGAGTATTGCAAATGCTTTGCTATAATTTAAAGAAACTGAATTAAGACAAATGTTGTTGCATCTGTCGATATTTAAATGAAAACTTGAAAATAGAAAATTTTAAAAATTTTTGTTTGTATAAGTACACAAAAAATAGTATGGTCGAGTATGGTCAAGTATACTCTGTATGAGCCCATCTATATATCTTGCGTGACACATGAAAGACTTTAAATTAATGCCATTCCAGTGATAATTTCACTCCCACAACTAAAGCACTCAACATATTATTAACTTTTTAATTTCAGTTTTACTCAATATTACAAAATTCAGCTCATCTCAAATCCCCTCACACTTATAACATCATGAAAAGTTTATCAAACGCATATCTTCGCTTAACTCAACCAGTATGAAAATGACTCTCTAATCATAGAATTAAGAACGTACATGGATAAAAATTTACTGTGCAACGCAATCAATAAGATGAGTTGAATAGGTTGATGGTTTATCTACGTCAAGTGTGTTTCTTTCTAGCTTGCTTCTTTTCATTCGACTTTTTTTTCTTCTCTCAAAATCCTATTCTTGTTGTTTATGTTTGCTCTTACCGTGCTTTTTATATGCCCTCAATCACCATCACGGTTGACTTATCTTTCATGATATACATTAAAGTGTGTACGTGCGTGTGTGTATAAGCTCTTATCGCTGTAATGTCCGAGTAAAGTAATGAGATTTTTAAACTGCTTTAACGTGGCTGCTGACATCGATATAGTGATGCATAGTCTTACATATGGATCAACAGAAGTACTGCAATGTAAAAGGACCTGCAGCAAAAATTAAAATCTAGAAGAGTCACCTAAAAAAATACTCAAAGACCACATAAACTGCTCGGAACCTGACGCAAAATCTAAAATAAATAACAGTGATTAAATAATATGAGCTATCCGTACATGAGAATAGAACGAGGCGTAGTACAAACAACAAAAGTGAAATTCAGGCCGAATAATGCAAGAAGAAAAGCCAAAAGGGATAAATTTTTATTGCTTATTCATTCAAACAATCCTTAAACATTATTTTTCTTCGTTGAGACGATTACTCGTCATTTTACATCCGTCAGCATTAAGGCATCACTCGCTGTTACTCTTGCCAAATGGGAATTTGCTTTTGGTCTTTAAGAAGAAATTTCCCTTCGTTGTCGTTGGACATGAATAGCCCATTGGGACCTCTTGTCTGATGCATGCATTGATTTCAAATGAATGAAGTGAGCCACACTTTCTAGCAATAAAGTTATTCTCATTGCCTTTGTACACCGTTTCAGCATAATATTCCCAAGCTCTGTTGACGATTAATCGACCAACGACAATCGAAGTGAAAGTCGTAAAAGTAAGTTTTAATGAATTCTTAAATTAAGTACACGTACAACAATTTACCTTGAATGAGAGCAGAAAATCGTAAAGCAGCCTGGCATTAACGGTACAATTCCATTTGGGAAAAAATCTATACGAAAAGAGAAATGTGAGTTGGCTATTTTTGGCTGATCCACGTGTGGATGCTTAAGAAGCATTTTTTATTCTTAATGGATGTTTTGGATACTTTAGAAACAAATTTAAATTTAGAGTTCTTAAGCCATGACTAGACAAAAAGTCACTCAAATTCACATCCACTCTAAAAAATTGCGTTCTTAAAAATCCACTCGTAAAGGTTCTTTTACAATATACTCTCAAATGAGAGCTACAGACATCAACAGATAAAATAAAAATAATTAATTCAATCGACATCATTCTGATAGTCAACCTGACCTGCATCTCCAATAGCTTCGGGTTTTCCTGTTATTTTCCGTGATTCACATGTATTAGTGTTCGGATGAAAAGTGAAATGAGATGAAAAGAGATTACTTTTTTCGTACGCTCAATATTTTATGCATACACCTACCAAGTCCACCGGCATCTGAGTGTATAACATCTGTAATGAAAATTGCCGTCACGAATTTGAAATGAAAGATGTTATGAGAACAAGGATAAATAAATAAATTTAAGAAGAGATTGAGAGATAAAGTTAAATGAACATGGAAATCCATTAAAGGACTTGACTGAGGAAATGATGCTGAATTTTTTTTGAGGCTGAGGACTTGCTTGCAAATCAGTACGAGTGTCAGGTTGAGGATGATGTTTATGATAAGAATTCTAATTTATGTGGAAGCACATTGCTATGCCAAATGACTCTTAAAAATTTAAAAAGCATGACCAAACAGAATTTATAAATTTTTCAAAATTCTACATCCACAAAAATTAATTACGCGTTAAATATCACCATCTGATAAGAAGATAGAAGGATTTACTTATTCGTAAATGCTCTCAATAAATCATATTTCTCATCCTCATTGCTGGAACTTTCTCTTTTTTAAATTCGCATCATGGATATAAAATATTTTTTAAGGGTTAGAAATTCTTTGAACACAAAAAGAAGCTATGCGTATAAATGTAAAAGGAATACAGAAGTCTCTGACGACTGTAATAAAGGATATTAAATTAAAAGGTCTTTAATTTTGTGTGGCTGTATTTTAGGATCTTTTTGGGAATTTAAAGGTAGAATTTTTGGAATTCCTACTTTTGACGTAACGCTGAAAACTGGATTATTACATCCCTATCCCTTTTTTCCAAAAGTTTTCCCCCACCATCTTAATACTGTACTGAGTGATTCCATCCTCAAGCACCCTATGCTCACCACAGAACAATTTCCACAAAGAACATTTCTAACTTTTCCCATTTGACCACAAAAATTTTCATAGTCAGAACAATCTTGAAAGGAAATTCCGAGGACACATAACAACATTTTGTGATTTAGTATAACATATTTATGTAGATAGGACTTTTATGTAGGCAACATCCAACTGAGTGAGACATTTCATTTCCTCAGTACATGATTTTGTTTTAAGCTTGTACAAGATTGTTGAATTTATAAGGATATTCGCAGGATGTAATGCTTTATAAAGGATATACTTACCAACAAATTCTGCATCACCTCGTCCAACTCCTTGGAGACTTTCACCTGTAGATGATAATGAAATTCATTATGTAAAAAAATCAAAGTTTAATTCTTTACATTGTTGCTCATATCTTCAACAAGCTTACATGTGTATGCTGTTTTATGGATATTACATACCTTCTCCAAAACATGGCTGAAAGTTTCATTAGGTTCATTTTGTGAATAATATGAAAAGAAAAAGAGAGAATAAGAACATAGAGTAGAATAAAAATGAGTTCGGAAAAGTTTTTTAATGAAATTTTCTGCGAAAGTTTTTCTATATTTCTAGCATAGCTTTTATCTAGTCTGATAGGGTTCATTTTGAATGATTTGTCTTGATTTTATTCGAAATAAATTTTGGAAAGCTTTAAAATATGAAAACAATAATTTAGGAACCACTTTTAAAAAGCTTCCTTCCAATAAAATTTAAATGCGCTTTGTACTTGCGTCACCAATACATTTCTTACTTGATGTTTTCATCTTATTTTCAACGTATAGATAGAAATGGAAATTATGCATGTGACATCTTCCATCCTTTACTGCATAACTTTTACTTACCTTTGCTGGATCAAATGCTGTGATCCTCGGTAAAAGTTTATCAGTCTCTTGTTGGAATGTTTTGCCTGCACTGCATAATAAAGGAATTTTATCAAAACAAGAACCGTTAAATCATTTATATGCTTTGTGTTATTTACCTTCCCGCAATGTGAGCACCTTTAAGGATATAATAAAGTAAGCAGGAATTAAAAATTTCATGTTATGTATTTCATTCCGTGTCATACTCACCTAAACTGTGACCCATAACATGAATATTTTCAAGTGGAACATATTTTATAAGCTCAGCAAGTCCCAAACCGACAGCTTTTCCCAGTTCTTGTGTATTGAATGCACTCCATGCATAAAGCGTATCGACATAACGTGCTGTGTCAATTAAGATAAAGTTTGTATCGCCTCGCGACTTGTACGCCTTCCATAATTCATCAGCTGCTGTATTTTCTGAAGCTATGTCAGAATTCCATCCTGTTATCATCACAACAACTTTTTTCGATGGATCAAATTTCTCATGTGCCCATAAAAGAATAGAATCGGTTACAGGAATTGAAACATTTTCATTCTCTGTCAATAGGACGTAATTTATTTCCTCATTTTTCGGTTGTTTAAACGACTCGGTGCTGTTGTTCGCTGAAAGTGCGATTGAGCCTGCGGGAATTATTCAAACCACATTAAATGATCGATTGGATTTTTTTTGTTATGTTTGAAAATAAAAAAAAAATTGAAAAGGAATATTTGATGTGCTGTGTTTGTATTTACAGATGGATATTCTCATGAGAGTTTTGGGCTGATTGTATTTTTAAAACATTTTTACAGATGTTCTGCTGGATTTTTCTTTTAACATAACAATTTAAGTCCCAGAAGCGCTTCATTGTAGTATTGTTGACCCATAAAAAACATCATTAAGCCTGTTGACATGTCATCTCACAGATTATACAGAATTCTAGACCTTGCAGCCACAAAACGATAAAAATAAACTTCTAAGCGCTTCTAATAAAAATAAATCCACAGTTCTCGAAAATATCATAAACATCTTAGCGCTCACTGACCCAGAAAACATTTTAATCTAAACATTCAAGCCTTTTTCCTTAATTATCCTAAATAAATCAGCTACATTCATTCAAATATAAATAAACAAGCAAATAAGCTTCTGCAAATACAAACACGATTTGAAATGAATCGGAAAGTAAGAGGACACGAAAAAGAATGAAAATAGAAATTATATTGCTTATGTAAACTCACACAGCTTGTCAATTCCTGACAGAACTAGCTCAAATGGCAATCCAATCAATGTTTGTTTCGATATTGAATATAAATTTTCCGGTGTTGGTATTAAATCAGGAACTTTCTTAATTATTCCAGTGCCTGCTTTGAAGCCCAAACGTCCAACGTCGGATATTTTGTCTGTGAAACTTCCTGGTGTGGCAACAACGACATATTGGTGTAATAAAACAATTGTTGCTGCACTATAAATTAACATGATTGATGCTTTCATTTTGAATTTTTGTGCTTTGTTTGCTTGTCTGGTTGTCGCACAGGAAAGACAATTGCTGTTATTTGTTGGCTGTTATGTTTCGTCACTTTCTTTGTTGATCGGCTTACCTCCTAAAGTTTGTTTTGGAAACAATAGAAATAATATGAAAAATGTCATAAAAGTCTTGGAATAAAAATTGGACATAAAGCGCATTTTAAGCGAAAAACTTTCAATTTTCAAGGACATAAAAGCTTCCAAAAAATTTCCTTATGTTTTAACCACAACCAAAGTCATAGAAACTCGTGTAGCAGTTAAACATCTCACAGAAGTCAATGAATTGCGGTCATCATTGTAGTTTCGGTTTTTGCTTGTTTTCCATCCTTTCTTCCTCATTCAATGTTCTCGACTGCCGTGTAAACAAATTTTAATCTTCTTTTCTATTTGTTTTCATTTCTAAGCTTGTTTATGGAAGTGCTGAGTACAAATGAGATAAAGAAGTAAGGAAAATGGCAACGGTTTGCGTCTTTTGGAAGGAAAAATAAAAATAAAACTCGAGATTTTTTTAATGTCGCAAAATGAAGAAATTTTTCATGTTCCTGAAAAGAGCTTTTAATCAAATTTAGAAGCTGCAACGAGCTTCATAAAAAATGTAATAAATTTTCTTCAAAAATTGATCCACATGACTACTTGCAAGCATGTAAAAAACTTGTACAAGAGCACCAAAGCAACACGATGAAATTTCCATTCAATAAAACTAAAAGGAACTCTATAACACAAAATGACATGCTAGTTCTTTTTTTTGAATTGTTAAGTATTGTATGTGGTCAGGAAATCTCAATATTCTATTTTTTTCCCGGGTAACATAGGAAGAGTTGAAATGGGTTCTTAAAATTTTGGATCTAGGAAAATCAAGTGACTTATAAAAAAATGAGTAATAACTTAGTGACCATCTAGAGTCCCGCTAAAACTTCCTGCTCGGGAATGTCCTTCTTATGAATTTCCTTCTTTTAAGGTTTTATTGTTTACCGCATATGTTACTTCCATTCCTTTTCTTACCCAACATAATATTAGCATTCAGTTCTTTTCGTTCTACATTATTCCACAAACATAGACACACTCACATGCTCAGAAGCATGAAAAATTCTAGAGTTAACCTTTTGGGTGCCATAAGTGTAGACTCTAGACTATTCAATTCAATCAACATTATTGATGTTTTATGATTATCATTATTTTCAGTATTTATTCCAAAGCTCAGTAAGTCACATGGGAGTGGTGGTTGTGGAAAAATCATTGAAAGTTCCATATGCCCGCATTCACAATATAAACATTTTGATATGATATTGAAAAACTTTTGCGGTAGCTTTTTCTGTGTGGATTGTTAACTTTAGTAGGTTCAAAACTACTCAATTTCCAAAAATCATAAGGATTTCAACCGAAACCAGCATTCTAATACTCTGAACCCTAAACTCCCTTAAAATAAAAGCAAAGAAAACATTTTATTTTGATTCAACGAATCTCCATCGCAACGTCTCGTTCATAAACAATTTAATTCTGCCTCATTTTTCCGCGAATCAGAAATTGAATAAGCATTTTATTAATCTTTGATCTTTTTTTGTTCTTCATTCTCGTAATAAATAAATAAATAAAAATTGAAGGAATTTCTAAAAGCGGATAAATATTGATAAAAGAATTCATTGCTTTTATTAAGACAGAATAATACAATAAAACCCAATGCTCCATTGAATTGGAAGCGATTATTTCCCATTTTGGGTTCAGAATTGTTGATTGTTTTGAATTAATGTTGTTATTGATGAGTGATGAAAGGTTCCTTTAGGATTAATGTGATGAATTGAATTGTAAAGTTGGGATAAGGAAGTAACTTTTCAAATTTTTAATGCATAATTTTCAAAAATTCATAATAAATCTCTTTAGAATTGAGGAACAAGATGAGCATCAAAATATCTTGGAATATTAAAAACGATTTAATGATTGACTGCGCAGGTATTCTATGCAATAAAATAGAATCAGATCTGAAGCAGAATTAAATTTCAAGCTCAACTTTCTTCTTCTGATTAATGCATCTTCTTCTCTTATTCATAACTTTATTTTATTTCTAAAGCCCAAGATAACTTTACAATATTCTATCTCACTAACCTAGTTCCATGGCTGACATTTAATTCGTATTCATGATAATGTATTTTTTCTGTAACTGGATCTTTATAGTAATTCATTATAGAGGAGGTTTCTCTTTCTTTTGAATGATAGATGCAGCAAGCCAATATAGAACGAACATTGCAACACTATTTTCAACTTGCTGCTCATTTCTAATCATACAGTTTTCATGTCTCATTCTCACAAAACTTTAACATAATAAGTTCCAACTCAAAAACAAGCTACATATCTCCAATCCAAGAATTTCCCAATTCAAATCCCCAAAAACTTCCCTAAAAAATCACAAACAACAACTTCAACATCCATCCATGTAATATTCCAAAGTAAATTTCACAAATAAAGCAAGAAACAAAAAGTTTTTAATTTAATACGAAAAAAATTCTTCCAATGAGCCAGCATTCATGAATGAAAAATAAGAAGAATGAGAGCACTGGGAGAAAAAGTATTTTGAAGATTGAAGGCCTCAATCAAGGACAGGATGGCAGAGAAAGATAGAAAAGGCTCAATTCAGCAGAGAATATTCTTTTTCTCGATTTGTACAAAAAAATAACTTCTTTTATCTTTCAATTGCCGTACAGACAAAGTCTAGAGATAGAGAAAGAATTGAATGTTGAGTTGAGGTATAAGTGGATGAGAGGAGCGCACGGGAATTAAGAATTATTCATGATAATGAATCGTTCAGAGTGCGTCATTACAATGTGTAAAATTTTGTGGAAGTGATGTGATCAGAGAGGATTTTTTTGGGCTATTGATAAGGGGCCGTTCACTTATTACGTAACGCTTTTAGGGGGGGGTCTAAGATTTGGTTACGGATTAAACCAAAGAAATTTTTTTTCTTACAAATTTTGTTACGAGGGGGGGGGGGGTCTAAAAAGTCGTTTTTTCGCGTTACGTAATAAGTGAACGGTCCCTAAGTTCAGGGACTTTTTTTGATTTGTAGTATGAAGGTTCTAATGGACTTTTGATAAGTTCAGGGCTATCGATGTTTGGTATGAAGGTTCTTCCTTGTCTGGTTGAACTTTAATTGAATTGTTGACAATTTAAATATTTTTAATCAATTTGGGCAAATACTTGTTCATAGCCGACAGTCAGACAAACATAATCATTAGCTTCACAGCAACAAATTTCAATGAGTCGTGTTAGAAATTTATGAAACATTTTTCCTTTATATTTTTCTTTGAATGAGCAGAAAAAAGGAAATTTTCTTTTATTACAATCACTTTTTCTCCATTTTTATGTCTGTTAAGCATAAAGGAAGGGAAAATATAAAAGAGAAAAGACAACAAGAAATGTTATTTGATGGAGCTTTAAAAGGTGAAACAAATTGAAAAACATTTTTTTTTCTCCTGTTTATCGTTCTTTAGAAATAAATTTACTGTAGATTGTCAAACGGGATGTTTGTCTTTTGCCTTTTGACGCGCTTTGTCTTTATGTGTTCATCCATATGTGTCAGCTGTATGTGATGCTCTGTTTATTGTACACATTACTGTCTTTTTGCGTGCGAGATTTTTCATGATGTAATTTTAACACCTCTGGCTGTACTCATGTTCTCAACTTTGACATCTTCATTCTTCTTTTCATCCCCAACTCCTTTCATTTATCGACTTTTATGTTCACTTTTTTTTTCTTGTAACATAATTCTGTTGTAAGAAGATGTTATTCTGTGTGAACAGTTGAGATTGTGCTTTGGTTTCTTCGAAATTTGGCTTGCAATATTCTCTACTCTAAGGATGCTTTAAAGCTTGATATTTTGATGATCTTAGGGATTTTTAAAGTGATCTTTGACTCTCGGATGCGCTTTATGGAAGTAAATCTTGAATAAAATGCATGCTATTTTTCCTACAGCTATTTGACATATTGATGCACTTGGATAGAAACAAATGGCAAGCGATCAAAAAGTTAAAAGTTACATGAAACATTAAAGTTCCTTTTAAAGCTATTTTCCTGTCTGCATCATGACCATTTTCTGAATAACTTCCAATTCACATTACATTGAATTACCAAATAAATTCAACTATAAACTTAGACACTGTCTGGTCAAGGAATCTTACAGCACAATGAATTCAAGAGAAAAAAAATGTAAAATGCCACTTCCACATTCAAATTAGTCATCCCAACTTTCCAATTTTTTCCCCTCAAGATATACTTCTTCCGCTTATCGCACTTTGAACAACAACGAAAAAGTTTTTACACTGCTTATGATCCCCCAATTTAATCATGATATTATTCACCATGTCTATTATTTGTTCCTTAAAAGTTTTTTATGTTATTTTTCCTCTGTGTGTCTGATACATGTATCAAAATATATTTTTCTTCTTCTGTTGCTAAGTTTAAATAAAAAGGAATTGTATCATAAATGTCACATGTATAATACATTCAATGGCATCATACTTTTATGTACATTTTTTCCATCTTCATATTTATTTTGTTATAAATTGAATTCTACGCAATTGCAGAGAAGAATGGAAGCGATGAATGTATGTGAATGTCTAAGAAGACTTATGATATGAAATAGGAGGAAGAATGATGGATATTGTCGATAGTTTGGGACTAAAGCGCTTTTTTTCTTTAAAGAGCAGTTCTAGAGATCAAACTATCTCTGTTTCTATATGAAAGATGATATTAATGAAGATCTTTGAATTGATACATTTATCACATCCTCAACTCTTCTGTAGTTCCGTCATACAGTCAAAACAGAACCCAGCAACTCTTTCATCCCAACAAAAGATGCTCATAGAAATATTAAATGAAATTTACTTATGTGTTCCGCAAAAAAAGGCTTCCAATGAATGAAGAAACTTGGATGTTCTATTTCTGAACAATAAAAATTCATTAAATGGAATGAAAAGAGAAGTTTCTTGAAATTGAAAGAAGAAAGCTTCCAATCAATCTTGAAAAAAATTCTTGTGCTAAATTTTCTTTTCATCTTTATGATTGAGTGTGTCGTTTAATGCTTTAT